AAAAAAACAAACACACACACACACACACACACACACACACACACACACAGACAGCCGCACGGACACCATCGCGGGAATAGTCAGGGAAGCTTTCTATGAACTTAAAACGTCGAGATCTGATGAAAACTCGATTTTTGCAAAACGGGGTGAAAACAATAACTTCCCGATTTTTGAAAATCTGAGATTTTTAGCGCGAAGTTAAAAATATTTTAGAAACCATTCCACAATTAGAAAATTTGGACTACGTATTTTCATCGAACAGATGGTAGAGTTTCAACCAAAAAACTGAAATTCTGCCTAACAAGTAGTGTTATAAGGAGAGTTCTGGGACAGGCTACCGACAGTGGTATTGATCGTCATTGGTCTGTTTGATCATATGTACGAGGGGTTGTCGTGAGTGTTACCGTCGGTCAGTAAAACATGGACCTGTATTTTAGCGGATGGTTTTTGGCGGTTTTTTTGAAAAAATTTAACCGGCTTGTACATGATCAGCCATTTCGTGGAGGTTTGTTTTGTTGGTATTTTTGGAAAATAACTGTTGAAATCTTGAAATTTTTTCTTAAAATTTTTAAGTAGAGTTTTTTTTTTCGAAGAGTTCACCAACAAGTTTGAACTTGTTACGTCATATTATTAGAATTTCTTTTCCCCCACCACTCATACTTAACGTTGATTGGTCGAATATTAGTTCGAAGGTTCATGACGCATTCCCCCCATTTTCTTTGAATCCCCACATCTCGGTAAATGACGCCACCGAGCAGGTCTGAAGTTGCATCAGCCAATCAACGTCAAGCATAAGTGGTGGGGATTGAGGATATATGTCTGGTCGTCTGGCAGAGCTCATAGTCTCTAAAAGCAAAATTTGGTTAAGTAAGAATTGTGCCTGAGTTTCTGAAGATATTTTGTTGTAGTTAAATTGTAACTGTGTGTATAACCTAATACAAGTCATTTTCTTTGTTTACTAACTACACTTTGGAAAAAAAAAGGTAATTAACAATATTTTATTTTCGATTTCAGTATTATGGAGCTTGTCATAGATTTTGAGTTTCTCAATAATGCGAAAGGTAAAATCAAATGTTTTTATCAATGGATAGTAAGGAATCGTAACGGTATTCCGTGGAATGCTGGTTTTTTAGCGAACGAAGATGTAGGACATGTTATTAGAATGGCAATATTATCAGGTAAGCCTTACTACATTTTTTTCGGTGGAGAAAAAAAAAGAAAAGAAAAAATGGCTCGAAAAGATCATTAGTACAAGTATTCCGATATTACAGATCGACACGATGGAATATCGTGGGTACAAGAAACGACTAAACTGGAACTATAGTATGTATCACGAATACGTCACGAATTTCAAGTGTGCTTGTCAAAATGCTCAAAGTATGTATGAAGTTCAAGGTTAATTGGAGTACAGACAGTCTGTACAAGTCAATTCGTCTTAACATACAGTCTGGAGAAAGCATACTCAAAATAGCGCCGAAAAATATTGCACAGTTATTTGCAGAATTTATACAATCATTTGGCGTTTTTGAGCCCAAATGGCATGACCACGTACTCGAAGAGTACTCATGGAGTTATTATCGCCGTTTTTGGGATGTCATCTTCGTGCCTGGGCACTTGGTAATAAGCTTTCTCCAGGTCCAGCTTGGCGTAGATGCGTGTATCAGTTAGCCGTTAAAAAAGGTCTTGTATCAGCGGTGGTAGATTCATGTCCTGCACAGTGTTGGCGTTCAGGTTGCGGTAATCACCGCAGAGTCTCCAAGTGCCGTTTTTCTTCTTAGCCATGTGTATGGGGCTGGCGTACGGGCTGTTTGATGGTCTCAGGATGCCTTGGTCAAGCATGTCAGCAATTTGATGTTTAGCTGATTCTGCTTTCTCGCCTCCTAGCTTTCGTGCGCGTGCTGTGGTAGGCTGTCCTTTTGTTATGATGCGATGTGCATACTGTGTGTTGATGAAATTTTTCTTGCTGATCGGCTTCGTGATCTCAATGTATTTCTGAAGCGAGTCAGCATAAATCTGCGGTAATTTTGAATCTATTGTTGAAATATTATAAGTCTGCGTTGATAACGTCTCTCCTTTTGTTGAGAGGGACGTGAGCGGGTCGATTAGCCGTTGATTCTTGAGGTCGATCAGTAGATTGTGGTGTGTCAAGAAATCTGCCCCAAGAATGGCTGTTTGGACATCGGCGATGATAAAAGGCCAGGAGAACGTCCTGCGTAGTTTCAGATCCAGTGAAATAGTTTTAGTCCCATAGGTGCTGATGGCGGATGCGTTTGCTGCGTAGAGTATAAGTGGATGTGATGCTTGTTTAGTTTGTCATTCACGTGACTGACTGGAATGATGGAAACGATCGACCCAGAGTCGATCAAGAATTTTTTGTGAGTATTGCGATCGTACAGGTGAAGCCGTAGTTCTTGAGGCGGTAGATTATATTCGCTGTCACCAACTGCCCCAACTGTTGACAGCGGAACTCGTTTCCCGAGTTTACGGGGGTGACTGGGACGAACTTGCATGGCTGGACGCATTTTCTCGAGTCGTTACCCCAGCGTTGGCGATAGTAACAGTATCCGTTAGGGTTGGGTGTTGAAGCCCTGCCCCTGGACTACGATCTGCCGTAGCCTTGATCAACTCTAGATTTGCGTTGGCTGAAATTGTTAATCAGCAGAAGCTGCTGCTCTAGCTGGAGTTGCATGTTGCTGATGTCCTGTTGAAGGCTTTTCATTGTGAGTTTAAGCTCTGACATTTGTTTTTCGAGATGAGACTGGCCTGTAGAGAGTGAATGTTCTCTGTTGTGAACAGCATAGACCGAGCTGTTGCCCATGCTGAGCTCCAGACGGTCTGCCAGGTCCGCCAAGCCGTTGAGGTCATTGATGTGAGGTGAGACCAGGAGGTATGGACGAATCCAGGCTGGAAGACGCACTTTCCAGAGCTGGTGTAATGCGTCGTCGTTGATTGAACCTCTTGCCAGTTCACGCATCTCTCGGAGGAGCTGTGAGGGTATCTTGTCACCAAGTGTCATGTCTCTGAGGAGCTTAAGAAGTTGTGTTTGTCTAGAATCAGAGAAACGACTAAGTATTGCGTTCTTAATAGTACGATACTCATCTTGAGCTGGTGGATTGCTGATGATGTCCCAGAGCTGAGTTTAGATGTTGGGTTGGAGAGCCTTTAACGTCTGACTGTATTTCTGATTGTCACCGGTGATGCGGTTTGCTAAGAAGTCTGCTTCGGCTATGGCAAACCACATTTCAGGTCTGTCCGAGGTGAACTGTGGCAGGTTGACAGCGAATATTTGTGAAGCATCGAATGGTGCAACTGGTAATGTTTGCTGTTGTTGGGCGCACCCGGTGTTACCATTGTTGTTACCATCGTTGTTGCTATTGTTGTTATCACTGGTGTCTTGAGTTTGTGTCACAATGCCCAACTTGGATGTTTTGCTCAGTGGATTACTTGGTGGTAATTCAAACTCAAGTAAAGAATTATTGAGATCATCTGCTGGTTTGTCTTTGTTAAATGTAAACATCGTGTCTTTTTTTCGGGTGTTCGAAACATGTGCTTTTTAGGTTACTGGTTTCAGTTGCTTTCGCACTTATTATTTCTTGCAAAATTAAATCACGTCGGGGTCACCAATATGTAATTGTTAAAGAATACTACACTATATATTAATAATAATAATATTTGCAAGATTAATTCGTATTTAATAATATTTATTCACTTATTTATTACATAAATTATTTAGCGTCTCTTCTATTAATAAGTCAGGTCACAATTGATAATATAATAATAATCTAGATAATAGTAATAATAATGCACAATCACGCCACAGCTATGGCGTGCAAAAAGGCGGGATTATTTGAGTGTGTGCGTGATTGTTTACTAGAGAGAGTGAGAGGGTTTCCCGCTCCGATGACTGGCGCTTTGGCAGGTTTTCTTTGACTTCTGGCCGCTGGGAGCGTGACCGAGGTGGCAGGACCGCAACACGAGTAATAAAAATTTAGTAGAATTTTGATTTAGTTTTAAGTTTCAATTGTTTGTTTATATTTTATTTCATCCCAGAAGGCGATCAGGATGGTCGCCGGCGATTAAAATTAGCGAGATTTGATTTTGAAACTTAATTTAAAGAATTTAATTTATTTAATTATTTTAATTTATTAAATTAGACGGGGCTCAAGTGAGTGGCTGACGGGCCTGAGAATGTCCAAGGCTCCCAGTCTAGAGCAGACGAGCTAGACGCTCAGCTCAAATTTGTTTTCTCAAACTCATGTTTGATTTTAAATTATTAATTAATTATTTAAATATTAATTATAGTATTATTAAAAAGATTATTATATGCGGATGCCGGCCCGATTTGAGTCCCGGGGAGGAAACTTCATAGTATTTGGTGAATTCGAAATTTTGAATGGCACCGTAGCTCGAGGTGACGAAAAGTCCCTCATGAGGACAGGTCGGTAGCTCCAGCTGGTAGCATGCTGCCAGCGGAATTTATAGTCAGTCACAGGTGTGATCTGAAAGAACGAGTACCAGTATGGTCAAGCCAATTAAATCTTTTTAAGAAATTTACAGTTGTTTAACTTGTTTAATAACAGTTTCATTGATTTTTGGCTGATTTTCTAGATAATTTTTGGTAAGTCCTCGAATATTATTCCACCGGGGAAACTACTGAGTACCTCCCGGGCGTGAACCGGCGCCTGTTTTCCACGTGAGGCCGCCATCTGTACCACGTGGCTGGCACATGGTGAATTCTTTATATTGAATTATTTAATGGTAAAATTAGATTCATTTATAATCAAACGTAAGTTAATTTATTAGCTAAAATTAAAATAGCCTCCCGGGGAAAATCTCGCGGCGGTTGACATCCTAATCGCGTGCTGTGACTCACATTAATTTAACACGCAATTACTTAGATAAAGAATTTGTATTGCGTCCATTTTTATGATTATTATTTTTCAAGTGTGATATGCGCTGATGTTATTGAACATTGATAATTACTATTACATTTATAATTTTCCAAGCGTGGCGTTCAATTGATATTATTTACTGTAAATTATTATAATTATCATTTTGAGCATAATTAACAATTAATACTATTGACTATTAATTAATAATATAATTATTATTTTGCGTGCATTATAAGTGATATTACTAAACATCGAGTATTATCATTATTATTTTTGGTTTAATTTACAAGCAATAGTATTGAATATTAATCATTATTGCAATTATTGTATTTGCGTAATTTACAATTACTATAATTAAAAATTAATTATTAAAATTGTTGTTTTGAACGCAATTTGCGATTAATATTACCAATTATTGACTATTATTGGATTTATTATTTTGCCTTATTCATAATTAATATAGTTAAATATTAATTATTATCACAAGTATTATTTTTCAAGCACAACTTATATTTAATATTATCAAATTTTAAGTTAAAAATTGACAATTTATTTAACAAAAATATACGTTGGCGGTCGATATTAATTTTTAACAAAATCATTACGTCGTAAATTAAATTTTCGCTTAATTTTAACAAAATTAAAGAAAAAAAACTTGAGAGGTGTCAAGGGACAGCCGGATGGAACGAAGTTCTATTCGATTAATTAGTGAAGGAATTGTATTAAAATTTTATTTATTAACTTCCCGCCAAGGAAATTGAAAATTTTTAAAAATCGGTAAGTTATTGCTTTTACCCCGTTTTTCGACGGGCTTTTTTGTATTCTGCGACCAGCTCCGCAGAGTTAGGTCATCACTATTGATGGCTATCCACGCTGGGATATTCTTCTTTTCTTTAGACACTCTTTCCGAAGAACGCTGATGTGGTCGTTCCACCAGTGTACTGCCGGGCGTTGGCTAATGCTGCGTTTCTGGGCCATACTTGCGTCACAGGCCTGAACAACTTTTTCATCAGGTCCTTGGTCATTTCTTCTGCGGATCCAGTAGTAATCGGTTCACTATTCAGGGCTCTATTACCAATGTGCTTGTGTCAAAAGACTTCACTTTCCATCCTATGGTATTGAGTGACTTGATTGGTCTTCTTGTATTCCGGTCATGTGATATTTCCCAGAGAATTGCCTTGTGGTCGCTAGCTGGGTAGATATCCATCACCTTCCAGTCGTATTTCCCACTGATGAGGCTGCTGCTGACGAAAGTGAGATCTACAATAGAGCTTGCTTCTCCTTTAGTATAGGTTGGCGTATCACCACTGTTGAGCTGGACTACATCTGGTGCAGTAAAAGCTTCTAGTAGTGCTTTTCCTCGCGCATTGGTCTGCTTGATGCCCCAGTCTACTGTCCAGGAGTTGAGGTCACCGGCAATCGCGACTGGATAATGCTGCTTGGCGTCCTCGGTCAGTTTGTCCAAGAATTCAGTGAATTCAACTATGGATAGGCTAGGTGGTGCATAACAGCTGTAGAAACGGATGCCGTTAACTGTTGCTGCTACAAAGCCGGCATTATCATTGTTAACTACACTCCGGAAGAGATGCTTACCACAAGACCAGATGACAGCCTTGGTGGTGCTGTCAGATTCCCAGAGCTGGGTATTTTGGTGTCTGTATGGCTCTGCTATCATAACTAAGTCTAACTATAGTTCTCTTGCTGTTTGCATAAGCAGATCATGTGCAGTTTCACAATGGTCTAGGTTTAGCTGCAATATCTTTATGTCTGTTTGTTTGTTATCTTCTGGAGTGACTCTTTAAATACTGGGCACCTAGATGCGCCGGCATGATGGGCCGCGTTCTCCGCACTTTGATCCACGCATAATACACATTTCGCTGGGTTTTTGCGTTCAGCAATCTTGTGACCTTCTTGTCCGCACCTGATACATAGCTTAGACCGATCCACATTGCTCTTGCACTGAGATCCCTGGTGTCCAAAGTGCCAGCACTTGAAACATTGGATTGGTCTCCTCGTAGCTCTGATTCGGCAGTAGGCCCACCCGATCCGGACTTTACCGCTTCGTTCCAATATCTTCCGCGCTGCAGCTGCTGGTAGTGTCACAAGGGCTGCCTGAGTACCTCTGTAGGCCTTACGAATCTTAATCGCCTCTACTGGTATCTTGCCGGTTTCTCCGATTACCGTTTGCAAAGCAGCCTGAATATCCTCCTTGGTTGTAGTATCGTCAAAATCTCGGATTTCGACGTCTTCCTCTGGTCCTTTGCAGATTACCTTCGCGTCTTCTGGGAGGATGCCCGCGATGGTGTCCATGCGGCTGTATGTATGTATGTATGTATGTATGTGTGGGTGTGGTTTTTTTTCCCTTAGGTGGGGGAATCCTTTTTACGAATTCTAGGCGTAGTTGTTTGGCCTGGATATATGGCGACTCAACGCAGCGTCATACTAAAACTCGACGCTAACGCCCCTACCCACTAAACCCTAAACCCCTTTCCTCTTTCCTCTAATCCCTCATGGAAACCGCCGTTAGGCATTACTTCGTGGGGGAAGGATATAGCGGCTGCTCTTCCTTCTGGTAACTAAGGTATTATTTTACCTTTCTTCTAGTTGCTGTGATTTGCTCTTTTCCTTTCGATGGAACGCAAGTCTATAAGGACTTCTGTTGCAAACGTGTTTGCGGCGTTCCAGGCAGCCTCTGATGACAGCATTGCTTCTACTATTGTCTCTGGTTGGATTTTCTTCTTCAGGATCATCTCCAGCTCATCTCGCTGTGGATAAAATCGTGGGCACTCGAAGAAAACATGCTCCGCGTCTTCAGCAACTCCTGGGCAGGACGGGCACTCCGAAGAGTCATCGTGCTTAAAGCGGTGTAGATACTTTCGAAAACATCCGTGTCCTGTCAACATCTGGGTAAGATAGTAATTGACCTCGCCGTGATTCTGGTTAAGCCAAATGTCGATCCGAGGTATTAGACGGTGCGTCCACCTACCCTTCTCTGCAGCATCCTATTGTAATTGCCATCGGCCTATGCTATTCTGCCGTTCTTCAATTCTAAGTTCTTCAGGGCTCAGTGTAGTTGACCTTTTTCGTTGGTAAAGGGCCCGTCTTTCTTCTGCTAGAACTCTAAGAGGTAGGGTTCCAGTAATGACGCACACTGCCTCTTCTGATATAGTGCGGAAGGCACTAGCTACTCGTAGGGCACTTAATCGATATACTGGTCCAGCTTTTCTCCATGATTCTTGGGTCTCCAGCGCATCAGCCCAAATGGGTATTCCGTAAGTGAGCACTGATGTGACTACTGATGATAATAGTAGCCTCCTGCTCTGCGTTGGGCCTCCGATGTTAGGCATCAGCCGTGCGAGACTAGGAGCTGTATTCATAGTTCGGGCTTAAGTGTAAGTGCACCTTAAGCACAAGCTTAAGGCAGCGTTTAGATTCATATACGGCTTTCTTAAGATATACTTCAAAATTTGATCTTAGCTAAGACATGTGGCTGGGATAAATATTCATAATTTTAACTTGAGACAAGCTTGAGCATTAGATATTTCTGATGTATTCATATTCAAATAAGACGGTCTTATAAAACACCTTAACCTTACTTTTCATCCAAATAAGAGAGTTTTTTTCTAAGTCATCATTTCAGTTGACTTGAGATAATCTTAAATGTATTAACAGTGAAAAAAGTGGTTCAAATAATGAATTTTTTGGGTTTATATAATATTGACATCGACGATAATAATGATATCAATTTTGATTTGGACGACGATGATTTAATCATACGTATTCCAAAACGTTATATTCGAGATGTGCAAGATCCTTTTGATTTTTATTCAGACATCGAATTCAAGCAAAGATATAGATTTGACAAGGATAGTGTTGAATTTGGAATATTACCTCTTATAGAACAAAATTTAACTAAAGTTAATAAACGAGGATTACCAATTCCACCAATTTTTCAATTATTAATATGTTTGCGATTTTATGCAACTGCAAGTTTTCAGGTAATTATAAATTAAGTTAATAATATTTATTTCTTATTTACAGTTATTTGCTAACTTAGAGAACGCTGAAATTCTTACAGCTCATTTTAGGTGATACCATGACAGTATCACAACCAACAGTTTCCAGAATAGTTTTTCGTGTGAGCTTTTTACTTGCAAGCAAAATTCATGATTACATTAAAATGCCTCGAACTCAAGCAGCAAAATTAGAAAACCAGAGACTTTTTGAACGTTTGGGTTATGGTAATGGAGCAATTGGAATACCTGGGATTGATGGAGCAATTGATTGCACTCATATCCGATTAGTTCATACAAGGTTTCAAAATATTAATGAAATCTACAGAAATCGAAAAGGCTATTTTTCTCTGAATGTACAAGTAATTATTTCTTTTATTTTCACTAGTCATTACAGACTGAACAACGTATAATATAATAATTTTTATTTCGTAGACGATTGTTGGCCCACGAATGGAATTTTTAGATATTGTTCCAGAATGGCCTGGTAGCGCTCATGATAGTCGAATTTTTTAAAATTCTCGCATTTACATGAGATATTCTGAACGTGAACTAACTGGGATACTTGTCGGTGATGCTGGATATCCATGCCTACCTTTTCTAATGACGCCCATTGCCAATCCAGTTACAGATGAACAAATAACGTAAGCAGCGATAAATAATATTTATTTTTATAACAGAGAATTTTTATTAATGCACCAAATTTTGCCTGAAACAGCTATAATAATATTCAGAGCGGAACTCGAATAATAGTTGAAAGGGCTTACGGTGTTTGGAAGCGAAGATTTCCTTGTTTATCAAGAGGATTAACGAATAAACTTATTTGTTCAACTACAATTGTTGTAGCTTGTGCTGTATTACATAATTTGTCGTTGATATTCAATGATAAATTACCTGACGATGATTTACAGGATGACCACCATGAGGAACCCAACGAAGAAATACCTGCCCCTCTACCAAATTTGCAGCCTGCTGACGGTTTTGCATTTCGCGAAGCAATTATAGAACGTATGTTCAATGGATAAGATCTATACAGTTTTGATATTTTTTAAATATAATCGATTTTATATTGAATGAGAATAATTTTTTATTTATTTGAAAATTTACGTATTTTTGATAACTTGAAATCATAAATTGAAGTCACAATTTTATCTCGGTTGAATTCCGAACTGTAAATGTATTAAATTCAGAATTGTAAATATAATGGATTCTATAAAAATTTAAATTTTCGTTAAATACATATCATTTGTAGTTACTTTCAATAATATATCTGTAAGAAAAGTTTTTGAACGTGTTTCAATAAAAAACAAAAATTTTTATAAAAAAACTTTTTTTATTTCCAGCCTTGACATGTTTGGTTTGATTACATTAAAAAATAATTTATTTAATATAAAAATTTAATACATGCTTTAATAAAAAGTTACGGGCTTAACACTCCAATATAGTTAACAATTGCATTCAAATGCACTTCAAAATTAAAATACTGCTAGCCCTTGGCACTTAAAAAAGTTTTTTTAACGTATTGTATAAAATTATTTGTATTTTAAAAATTGCTATCGTCTTATATAATCTTCTAAACTAACGATAAATTTTTATCTTTACATTTCTATGTTATTTATCATGAAAATTAATAATAAACTAGAAACATCCAGAAGAAATCATGTCAATCGTGCCCTTAATTCTTATTTTGTTGTCTTAATAAATTTAACTCACTTAGTTCAGCTGCAGCGGTTGCTGCACGAATCTCTAATTTATACTTTTGTTTCAGGTGTTCTATTGTTTGATTATGAATCTCTTCTTCATGTTGACATTTCAGTTAAAATAATTCCTCTTCTTGCTTTATTATTTTTCTTAACCTTTCGCTTCTATAGAATTTCTCGTCTTCGTTGGGTGGATTTTCTCTACCTTTAGTTCTTTTCCTAGATTGTTGAGCTAAGGTGATTTTAAAAATATTAATTAAAATATATATTTTAAGTATTATGCCCAATAAAACTACTTACTTTCTACCAACGATCTTTTAGTAACAATAGACGATGAGGGTTCACGTGGTAATTCTTCATCATCATTGCCATCATTCTCATCATCTGGGAATATGTTCAAGGCTTATGTATTCTTCACATTCCATTGAGTCAACAGCATTACACTTATCTAGATAAAAAATATTTCTTGTAGTTTTATCAATAGTGAACGATGAACCAATATATAAAAAAGTCGGAACAGCAAATATCTTAGTAGTTTTAAAAATAAAATAATTACAGAAGGAAAAAAAGATGAAAACGTACCAGTAACTTCTTCTTCAGACATATTTGAAGAAAATAAAATCGGTGCAGTTTTAATTAAGTTTGGGGCAATAAGTGCAATATCAGGATCAACTTCAGAATCTGGAATTGATGGACCGCCCCCAGTTGCAAGGCGATGTTGCTTTTCGGTTGTCAGCGCATTCCGTTGTTTTGTTTTTAGATTTGACCAAAGTTTTTTGAGTTGATCTGCGTTTCGCTGCAATATTTTTTAAAATTATTATAAATTCGGCATACTATGTATTAAAAAAATAAAAATAAAATTAACAGTTAACTAACAATTTTTAATTGTTTCTCTTTGAAAAATTGACAATAAAACGGAGTTAACGAAAAAATTTCACATATAGAAAATTTGAAAAACTACAAGTCCAATTTTTCAAGAAATACTTTCTAAAACTAAAATTATTTGTAAAATTTAATTAAAAACTGATCAAGTGGCTGTTAATATTAGAGTCATATTAAAAAGTTAATTTTACCTTTTCAGTAATTATACTAGATGAATTAAAGTCGGTTGCGATGAAATCCCATGCTTCTTTTTTTTCACTTAATGTAGCAGCATCACTCTTTTTATTTTCAATTACTTGGGCATAATTTTTTAAAATTTGTAGAAAATATTTTTTTTCTACAGCGGTAAAGTTAGTACTTTTTCCTTTTTTTTAACATATTTTCTTCTAATCTTGCGGTAATAATTTTCTAGTGTAACTTGAATTTGAGGCTTACAATTTTCTAAGGCACATTTGTACATCTGTTTACAATTTTCAATAAAAAACTTCATTGTCAAAATTTAAGTACGTTTCAACCAATGAGATCGTTGGAAACATAAGAATTTTCACGGAAATTGACGAACACGCGTTGACTTGGTCTTAAGTTGAGTCTTACTAAAGCTTATCTTACTGAAAATAAGATCCTGCTTAAAACTGTTTTCTTACTCAAGTTTATCTTAAAGAATGACTCTGAAAACATCATAACTTACAGCCGATAAGGCCGTCTTCATGAAGACAGGCTTAAGTACGAACTTAAGACCGGACTATGAATACGGCCCTAGCCCTCACTACTGACGCTTTGGCACTGACGTGTTCCACCTGCTGCTTGAAGTTGAGTCGAGCATCCAGCATCACTCCCAGTCAACGGATGAATGGTTGTGATGTTATTTCTTGTTCTCCGACCCTCAACTTGATGGTTTCTACCGTTTTTCTACTAGTGATGAGCACTGCCTCGATTTTATGATTGGCTAGTTGCAAGTTCATCATGTCCATCCACAAATTGACTCGTCTGAATGTAATATCAAATGCCATTTCTATCTCTTCGAGGTGCTTTGCGACGATCACGACAGCTACGTCATCCGCATATGCTACAAGTTTGACTCCCGTGGGTAATGCTATTCTCAGGAGGCCATCATACATGATGTTCCATAGCAGGGGACCTAAGACTGATCCCTGTGACACTCCTCCAGAGATTTCGTACACTTCCGTACCGTTCTTCGTGTCATATTTCAAGACCCTATTCGTGAAGTAGCTCGCTACTATTCTGCGAAGGTATCCTGGTACGTTTTTTTCCTCTAGAGCCCGCATAACACAGTCCCAGTTAGCGGAGTTGAAGGCATTCTTGATGTCCAAAGCAGCCACCAAGCAGTATTTTTTCTTTCCACTCTTCCATTTCATTCCAGTGTTTGCATCCTTGGCTGTATCAACAACCAATTTGATCGCATCCAGAGTTGACCGTCCTTTTCGGAAACCAAACTAGTTCTTTGCCAGGAGTGGATCGACTAAAGCCTCTATTCTCTGATGAATTATGCGCTCGAATATCTTGCCGGCCGTGTCTAACATGCAGAGTGGTCGGTAGGATGATGGTTCTTCCGGCGGCTTTTTTCCCTTCGGAAGTAACACTAGCCGTTGCTGTTTCCACTTCTGGGGAAAACTCCCTTCCTTCAGGCATGTATCGTAGACGTCCAGAAATAATGTCAGTGCTGCCCTAAAGATTGATTTCAGGGCAATATTAGGAATTCCGTCCAATCCTGGTGCCTTATTATTCCCTACTCGATTGCCTGCCTCTATCAACTCATCCAACGTGATAGTTAGGATATCTTTAGGGTTGAGCTGCTCCAACTTGTAGGTGAATACCGGCTGTTGGGGAAACAGCGCAGTAACAATCTTCTCTAGGAGCTGTGGACACGTAGGTGATGGCATTGGCTGGCATATCAGGTGGGTCATAACCACCTTGTACGGTCTGCCCCATGGATCTTTCTCTACTTCTGCGACCAGTTCCTCCCAGCAGCGTCTTTTGCTTTCTTTAATGGCTCTGCTTAGCTCTCGACGGGCCTTTTTATACTCTGCCAACAGCTCTGCTGAGTTTGGTCGTCTGTAGCCACGCTGCGACTTTATTATTTTTTTAAGACACTCTAAGCGTAGAATGCTAATGTGATCGTTTCACCAGTGCACTGAAGGTCTTGAATTCATGCCACGTTTCCGAGACATACTAGCGTCGCAAGCCTGGGTGACTCTTCTCATTAGGTCCTTGGTCTTCTCTTCAGCAGTTTCTACGATGATCGGATCGCACTCTAGGGCTACTACTAAAGCAGTGAGGTCGAGAGATTTAACTTTCCACCCAACTGCGCTAGCGCTCCTGTTGACTCTTGTTATATTCTGGCCAGTTGATATTTCCCATAGTATCGCACTATGGTCACTGGCTGTGTAGATGTTCAATGAGCCTTTTTCCTCAAGTACAAAAAATTACTCACTAGCGGCGCTAGTAGTTCGGTAGGGACAAACATTGTCAGAGCTCCATTTAATCACATAGTAAAGTGGACTTATAAAAAACATGTTTTTGACCGAAAACGACGTTCCTGGAGCAAAATTAAAATTTGCAACCGTAAAAGACAATAATGTTGTCACATTAAAACGTTGGCTTGCGTGCCGTAACTTAAAAGTTAGCGGAAAAAAAATGAATTAATTGACAGGTTAGTATACAAACTCTAGTAAAAAACTAGTGGTAAATTCAAACTGTAACAAGTGAAATTGAAAATAATTATAAATTTAAAATTTATTTCAGAGTGAAATATGAATGAAATATAAATGGTAATAAATAAACGTTATTATATGTAATAAATGAATACGATTAAATAACAGACAGAGGTTATATGTCATTTTAACATTTTAATTTATATCCAACAACTGCACTAATAGAAGGATTTGCTTCTAGTTAAAAATATTTGTTAATATTTAACAAATCATTTATTAAAGACCACTTTTTAGTCCTTAATGAATATTTCTTAGTATTTAAAAAGATTTATTAATATTCAATAAATGAATGTCAGATTTATTAAATACAAACAAATCATTTTAAATACTAAGATATATTTGTTCAATAGTAAAAAGTGGTCTCTAATAAATGATTTGTTAACTATTAACAAATATTTTTTGGTACAAATAAATCCTTCTATAAGTGTGTGAAAAAAATTTGCTATTCATTTAATTAATTTCAAAAATAATTTCGAAAATATGTAATTGATGATTCTAAGTAATTAGTTTATCAGTTATGTAGAATTTTATAATTTCGTAATCTTTTATTGGAATGCATTAGGGTCAATGATTGTATAAATAATGGAAGAGAAGGAGTTATTTTTGAAGGTGTTGATAAAGGAGTATGGTTAATTAAGAAACAACAACGGTTACAAGCATCTTCAACGGTCACATCGGCATCTACATCTGGATCGACATTGACAAAAGATT